ACATTGCGAATTCAATTAAAAGTTTAAGGCGAATTAAATTAACATGAGCAAAAGCACACTGCCACCTATTCACCTCTTTGTCGCAGTTAAATGGCGCTTGAAAGTCTGCTTACGTCCTACAACGAAAATCTGAGGCAGTAATTTATAATTAGGTAAATTAGAAGAACAATGCCCTGTAACAAGTTGTTAATCTGCTCCAAGGTATATATTTCATTTGTTCCATGAAGCCAAGTAAATTTGTAGAAACAATGACACTTTTATGAAGCTTATAAATTGCACTGCTGCAAGGATTCAGCTCGCTAACCTAACCTCATACAAATCCTGTAGCCTTTTACAAAAATGTACCAGTTATTATAAAGTTTCAAAATAAAAACTAAGCAGGTACAGTGGTAATTCTCCTTCACACTGTCGTCTCATATTTTAAAATAATGCTGAAGACAGAAGAACTTTCACTAAAAGTTTTAATCAAAAAATCGGTTGTCTGTAAAGTCGGTTTACTGACGATAGTTGAACGTGACAACGTCATAAGAAAATACTGATGGAATGGTTTCATTTTTCAAAAGAAAATTTTAATTTTATTTGTTTGATAGATATTTTGTATGGATATAGAGAAGGAGGTAAATGGAAATGTATTATTGTATAGCAGCTGTCCACGCGGACGCATCGCTCACTCAAGTAGGAGAGAGACAGATGTCGAACGCTGCCGAACGCGGAGGCCGATTGTGCCTCTTTGTCGCTCGTTCCGCGCTCTCGCTTGCACTTCAAGCCTTAAATGGAACGCCTCAGAGCGAGGTAACGCCGCATGAGTCATGTTTTTTCGTGCGTGCAGCCGGCTCCANCTTAAATGGAACGCCTCAGAGCGAGGTAACGACGCATGAGTCATGTTTTTTCCGTGCGTGCAGCCGGCTCCACCGAATTATAAAACGTTGTCACGTCAAAAACGCCTGACGACTGTTAAAATTATAGCATCATTTTCGATGTCCTTAAATATTTATAGTTACTGCGAGAAAGCCATTGAGTCTACTTGTTCAACTGACTGACATATTTATTGTACCTGCCCGTGTGTTGTCTTGCCTTTACGTTGCACAAGGCCAGTTAGACTCATGCCGTCCTACGCTGCCGACCAGAATAGGTCTCGTACAGCGCATGACGTCATTTCGAGTACAGACACAACGCGAGATTACTGAAAGAAAATAACTTTCATACTATTCTGTTCTGTACGAACGACGGTAAATGACGTAGACGGTCGTTATGCCTTTATTACAATTATAATTAATAATAAACTTTTGAACGCAGTTTCAGAACTAGACGGAAGTAAAAATTCATCCTATAATTTTAAATGATTTGTTTTTTTAATTATGTTATAAGTTATAATCCAATGAGTAGAGAAAACCTTGCTGAAGGTAGAGTAAGGATGCATCCAAAAGTAGTTGGGTTGTTTTAAAACAGTAGCATAGTATTAAGATACAGCACAAAATAATAGCCTTTAGCTCACTTCCATGTCATCATCATAAGGTCGTCAGTCCTAAGACTAGTTAGACACACACCTCTGCTCTTTCCTATCCTGAACTAATCTTCGCATTTCCCTAAAACTAGAACAATCTACATCCCTAATTATTTGCGAACAGTAATCTAATCTAGGTGTACCTCTACCCCTCCTAACTCCCGTTTCTGTTTCTATTATCTCCCTGACTGAACCTTCTTGTCTGAGTTGTCCTTCCAACCTATCTCGCCTATTTCTTATTAACATCCATAGTCCTCTGTTCTCCTATTCTTTCTAATATCTCTTCTTTTCTAATCATTTCCATTCACGGTATCCTCATCACTCGTCGGTAACACCACATTTCCAATGCTTTTAACCTTTTCTTTTCCGTCCATGTTTCGCGCCCACCGTCCATCTTTCGCATCCGTATAGCGCCCCGCTCCAAACATACACCTTTAACAACCTTCTTTGAATTTCTAAATTAACCATTCGCGAGCATAAAAGTGACTTATATACTTACGCTATTAGATAGTGTACAATTTAGCACGAAGATGTATTTTTAATCATTCTATAAGGTACTTAAGGATATTTGTATTTCATTTTGTTGTTTCAGAGTAATTTAACTCATCTAGGCCGGAACACGTTTGTTCCTGGTATAGGAATGGGCATTGCCAAGTGTCCCTACGATCCGACCGACAATTCGACCGCCGTTTGGGTCGAAAAAGGAAACCCGGGCGATTTACCAGGACTTTATTCAGGAACAAATGCCGAATTCACTAAAGCTGACACTGTTATTTTCCGAACCGATTTGCACAATCTCACCACCGGGAAAAGAGAGTATAGCTTCAAGAGGACCCTTAAGTATGACTCCATATGGCTCGACAGTAAGTTAAACTATGTTTCGATACCTAATTTTTTGTTTTTTTAAGTGTGTTCTTCCTTAACACTCGTTGATGTTTAATACTAAATTGTCATAATGCTTTTCCAGAGAGTAACAAAAACTACATTAGCGTTGAAATGATCATAGAGTTAAGCACGAGTATGAACAAATTTGACGGTAACAAGTTTGGGCAATAGGGAAGGGAGATTACGTTTATAGGCAGGCAGACAGCCCAATAGGAACAGAGTGGAGGTACAGAGAGTGAAACTACCTAATTTCTTTTAATTAAGTCATCGATATGGTGCTCAGGAATTTTCAGAAATGTAGACCTACATGTACATAATTAAATTCCCGAATGATAGGCACATGCTTTAAAACAAATGGGTTGAAGGTTATGGATAAGTGATTCTCATTATTTACTTTCAAAGAGAAGATCAATTGGCAATCTTGGATAAGATCTTTACCTCTAGGTAATTTGAAACACAAGTAATATTTTTTATTGAGAATGCATTTATTCTTTGACCTAAACAATGGAGAGTGAGGAAAAATTGTTAATCGGATATCTGATCTGCCCTTAATTTGCTCATATCTCAAGTGACATTCTTTTGCAATAATTTTTGTTTTCTTCACCTTTGTCCGTCACCCCTTTTATTCTAATTCACATCTTCGCCCTACAGAAATTCAATTAAGTGTATAGAAATTATCATTTCTATAAATTTCTTATTACTTACTAAATCGAGGACGTATTCAAAAAAAAAGGGCTCATGATTTGTCCGCCTGCTTGAAAGTCAACCCCTCGGCCTATTTTATCTGAACGTATTACCGTAAAATTTATTCATATCCTGCTTGGCGTTGACATTGAAATCTCGTGTCCAACTCCGACTAGAATGATTCAAAAGGAAACACTTTTATTGTGCTTAAAACTCCCAGTTTTTAAATTATTATTATAATAAAATTAATGATAAATATGAATCTCAAAATTACCAATTTTGGATCGCGATATCGAACTTATTAGTTCTCATCAGAACATTAAATTAGTTTGCTTTTGGTGCTTAGAAGCTTAGATTTAGTTTTAGAAGCAGTTACCATCATAAGGATCCCCTCAAGCATATGAAAGACTTTACATTTCAGCAATAGATGCCACTAGATGCTGATATATTGTCAATAACTTCATTTTATTCAATTTACGTTTACGGAGGAACTTTATTTGGCCAATAATGTTTCAAAACTACTTATGGTATAACGATGACAAATAATAAATTCGAAGATTCAATCAATCTCTAACCTACAACTACGTTATTTATCACATTACGTATTTAAAAGCTTCCTATTTTTGTACAAAAGATTTTTTTTGAACCAGCCAAAAGGTCGTTGTTTTTTATTTGACTAATCTTAATTAGAGTAGCCAATACTCTGATGGCATATTTATGAGTGAAAAGATTTTATGACTTCAGGAATATTTCTTTGAAAATAAACGAAAAAACTAGCTGGTAACAGATAATTTCGATGACGTCCTAACACTACGAACTGAGCTTTCGAAACTATTTCCGTCAACTAAAAACCATAAAACTCCATTATCGCTCGAAGTGCTCAAACTTTTATCCTCTACTATCAATTGTAATTTCCTTTCCGACAGTAAAGAAAATGTTTTCTGAAAGAGATGAAGCTGGCGTACATACTTAACATACATTAAAAATTATAAAAATAAATCAGCATTGTCTCTCTTCACGAATTCAAAAATATTGACCTAATAAAACAATAATAAAGTAAGTATAAAATCGACTATCTTTAATGGCTTATGTGAACAATAAGAAAAAAGGTAGAAGGAAATCGGCCAAGATTTTCAGGTATTTGTTCTTTTATTTACTCTACAAATATAGGTACGTATATTTTTGTTTAAAAGTACAGGTGTTGATAAAAAATTTTGTTTAATTTTATAACTATACAATAAGGGACTGTTATTTGTGGAGTCCAGTAACTTTCATTTGGGACTTGGGCTTCTTGGATACGCCGGCGACGAGCTTCCGCGTCAAAGCAATCGCTTTAGCTGGATTTAGTTCCTTCGGACAACAATTTGTACAATTTAAAATACTATGGCATCTGAAGACCGAATGTGCGTCTTTTAACTTTTTCAATCTTTCTTTAGCAAAATCGTCCCTGCTATCGATAATCCACCTGTAGGATTGCATGATCGCGGCTGGTCCCAAAAACTTGTCCGAATTCCACCAATAACTCGGGCATGATGTCGAACAACATGCACACAATATGCACTCGTAAAGACCATCCAGTTTGTCTCGATCCTTTATGCTCTGTAAGAATTGCTCTTTCCCGAGGGTGACTGGTTTTTTTTGTTTAAGCCATGGTTCTATACTATTGTATTGCCTACAAAAATAAGTAAAACAATTAGCTTTTCCTTATTTAATAAAATTCAAACCCAAATAATGTTGTGAGAAATCAACCAAATGCAATGCATCATTAAATTCTTCACTACAACCTGCACATTCGGATTTCCTATTAAATAAATGAAACTGGAAAATTGTTAAATACACCAGTAATGCTGTCCCTCCGGACTACGCCGGAAGGTAGGGCGGAAGGCCCTTTTCAGCTTGCTTTCAGGAATCGTGAGAATAGGTGGGTCGAGGTTCAGGTGAGAAAGATGAGACGGGCGAAATGAAGACAGAAGAAAATGAAAGATTATCTGTAGAATATTACTGCCTCAGCATTTGCCTAAGTGATCCAAGGAAACCACAGAAAAACTTGGACCAAGGCAGACGGACCCGGAATCGAACCGGCGTCCTCCCGAATGCTAA